GAACAAATTTTGCATTTCGGAGCTAATGGAACAGACAAAATTGCATTTCGGGACTCAAATTCAACAACTTTAAACCTTTTTAAACTCATAACTTTTCAATCAAATTTCAAAACCAACATCATAAACTGATTAGTAATGATTCAGGGCAATTATTGGGAGGGGTAAAATTATAATTTTCTAAAAAAATCGAAAATGACCTTTAGGGTCATTACAACAATATTTTTTATTTTTTGAATCCTTTATGGAAAATACAACGCCTGTCACACTCTGATTGTATGACTTCATGGAACATCTCTTTAGTAAATGATCATGTTTTTATTTCCTTTACAACTTATGAACTATTCAAATCATAATTTAAATATCTCTTTTGAGAAAATTGACAATTCTTTTGAGAAATGTTGGATCACGATTTCAAATTGTGTAAATTATTGTGAATACTAAACGACAGTATAATATTTTATTTTTAAAATTGAACAATTTAGGAGAAAATATTAAACTTGAATCTAACATTGTCCGAAAAAAACTCTTCCAAAAATATATTTACACGTACTTAAAAAACCTAAATGATTAGTCAATATGTTCTTTAGATTAGTCAATGTATCCTTTAAGAATTGTTTCTACACATACTCTCCTTCATTTCAACGTGCCTAATTAATATACGTTTATTTATTTGGTAAAGCCTTTTTAATCTCCTTTAAAAAAATCAAAAAAGAAGATTAACTTTATCATAATACCATCTTCTCCAATTTATTGATGATGTTCTCGATTAGATAAAGTAAAAAAGTTATCAAATTTGTTCATGTACTATTTAAAATTAAGAGAAGCATCGAAATCACTCTTGAACTTGGCGTGAATTATTTGTTTCATTCCCGAACTACTGAAAGCCTTAAGAACACTCCTTTACTTGACCTAGTGAACTTAAATACATCCCTTATCTTGCAACATTAGTGAAATACACCCATAAATTCTTGCCAAGCTAAGGGGCGTCTCAATACTTCTATCGGTTTTTATTAAGGGCCCTATGCTCCTACAAGAGTTTGAGACCACTTGCTATGTCATGTGACATATCGGGGCTGAATCGGGGGTGTATGTAGACTTAGTTAGTCAAGTAGAAGAGTGTTTCTAAGGCTGTCGATAGTTCGGGACAAAACTAATTATTTACGCCAAATTTAGATGTATTTTCAATACTTCTTTCTTTAAAATTATGCCAATTTTGTCTTTCGTTAGACTTAAGGGTTTAATTTTATTTCGTTATCAAGAAAAAGTTTTATTTTTATCTTTGACTTCTAATGGAGCTCCAAGTTGAAGTATAATAATAAATACATTACCACAAAAAAAGATCAAATATAACATAACTAAATTTCAACAATGCTGACAATTTATATATAATCGGCAAATAAATATTTATTGGGACAAAATTTTAGTCATATATATTGCATTTGATATTGTTAAATATTTTTTATATGTGAAATTCATTTATCGTTAATGACAAAAGCAACTACGAGAGCAAATGTATGAATGAATCCAAAATACAACATAAGGTAATATTGAGCAATTTCAAATTGTA